CCAGTTTCTAAACCTTTGAGCTCATTCCCTTGTTTAAAACCCTTCATCATTTTTCTAATCTCCTCCTGCACAGAGTCTGCAATATTTAGTTTGGCATAACTTATTTTTCACAATTCCTGCCTACTTTAGTGACCTTGTCTTCTGTTTCTGTTTCCATAAATGCATATTGAGTTCCAAATATTTCTGGCTCCTGGGGACATGCCAAGCTCCTCCATGCTCAGGTGTCGTGCGTTCTCCCTCTTTCTCGAGTGCTCTTCCTCCCCTTCTGCCTGGGCTTTAAAACTAGAGACCTAATTTCTAATCAATCTCTTCTGGGAGATCTCATAATCTCTTTGGGTTTTGATTCTTCTGTTAGTAATTTGAGATGATATTTTCTACACTTTGGAAAGAGGTTATGTAGGATGAATTGTGGCCTTGCCACTCACTGGCTGTATTATTTTGGAAAAGTACCTTAACTTCTCTAAGCTTCAGGTTTTTTCTCCTTCATAAAATAGGATAATGACGGTTATTTAAAACAGGACCTAACACAGTACCTACTTAGAGAGAGTCATTATTATACAACTCGTATGAATTAAATAAGATTAACATATGTAATGATTTAGCACAGTAATTCTTAGCATACTGTGCTTCCTTAGTGATTTCCTGCTCACCCTTCCAGATTCAGCTCAAATTCACCTTTACAATGCTTTTCTGTAAGCAGTTTGTACATTCTAGATATGGCTAGACATTTTATCAACTGTGCTCACATACCTCTATTTTCATTTAATATATCACATATATCCCCCCACCCCCTACACTAGAGTATTTATTATTTTACTTGGCAAAAAGTCAAGTGCTACATTTTTTAAAACAAAATCCCAAGCAATCATACACATTACCCAGCCCAGAGAGGGGCTGGCAACAGCACAAAACATCCTACTGAAGATCTGTTTTTAAACAAAGACGCCTGTTTAAAATGACAGAAGTTCTGTGAGAACTAAGAAATCTATACCCTGTTTATTAGAAAAAATTAAGACAATTAAGAGATCTCTAAGCTTCCAGGATTTACCCTGTTTATAGCACCTATTTCTCTAGGTCAGAAGATAAGAATTCTAGAACTTATGGCACCTGTCTTCTACCACCAAGAGGGTGGATCTGCTGTCGCCCTGCCAACTCCCATCATCGATGAGAAGACACTCTTTTTTATCAGTCGCCCCTCTTAACACCCAGCAGAGGGCATAACTGGGAGAGCAACTTAGAAACTAGAACTGAAGTTCTAATCTCGTCAGTTAGCCTGGACTCCTTGAGGACGGACTATTTTATTACTCACCCAAACCTAGAATGGATAGGTATTTAACACACATTAATTGATTGACCAAATGAGTACATTCATTAATACACAAGAACAGGTCTCAAGGAATTTAGAGTTAATAGTACGATTACCACTAATGCTACTACTACTGGGTAATGTTGGTCGAGCATCATGTACTCAACACTGTCCTAAGCTCTTGTGCTTATGAACTCATCTAATTCTCACAATAGCTCTATTAGGTAGGATTATCCCTATTAAAACTTTTTAAAATTATGAAATTTTTTTACGATTTTACAGATAAAGTAAACTGAGGCTCAGAGAAGTTAAGTAACATATTTAGAGTCACACAACTAGTAAGAGGTGTAGAAAAATATACCTGTTTCAATAGAAAACTCTGCATTGCCTAGAGGACGCCTTCCAGGTCATCTGACACTTGCCTTTCACTGTCTTTGATTTATTGTACATTTTTTTGGGTTATCTGATTGTCATCTTTCATCATCTTTTAGCCATTTTACAACTCTGTAAATGTGTTTTTCAGACTTTTTTTTTTGAACAGGTTATAAATCTGCCTGGTTCCCTCATTGACTGAGTTAAATTAAATCTTTAACTTTATTTTTCTTTTCTATTTGTATCAGGGTCATGATTTTAACTTTTTCTGAAAATTACCTTTTAACAGAAATGTAACTGAAATGCAGCTCCCAGTCTGACAAACTTCAAAGCTCATTTCTGCAAACTCAAAGGCCTTTACCTTCACTGTGTACTTTCCTGGGGAACCTTCTTGTAAAATGCAGAGTTCTGAGTTTCACCTCAAGAAACTCTGATTATTGGGTTTTTGTTTTGTTTTGTTTTTAACAAGACTCCAGTTATTGTGTTGCAGGTGGTCTGAAAAGCACTGCTTTGAATGACTCTATGGTACTACTTTTCTAGTGAGAGAAGGAAAATACTTGTACGAAGCAAGTTATAAACTTAAGTTTCAAAGAGGGAAAGAAGAGGAAGAAAGAAATTCTATCTGGAGGAATCTGAAAGTTTTATGAAGAAAGTGGCATTTGATCTGGGCCTTAAAAGTAGGAAAACAGACAGGGAAAGACATGAAGAAAAGGACATTCTGTGTTTTGGAAGCAGCATGAACAAAAGCAAAGGGTGGGACAATGCATAGTATATTTTGGGAATGACTCCTTGGATTTGACTAGATTGAGCAAAGAGGGTGAGAGAGAGAGTATAAAGCCTGAGCTAGAATGTAGGACTCAAATGCCTTGCAGTTATTTGGTAGAATGAAGAGTAATAGCAAGCTTCCGCTGGATGTAAAAGGATAAGAAGATAACAGTTAGTTAGAAGAATCCTAAGAAACATAGGCTGGAGAGAGAGGCAATCTATGAAAGGTGTGAGGTCTCCTATAATTAATGAATATTTATTGAAGGTTGGTTGTGTGTGAAACATGGTAGTAAGCACTGAGAGAAGATGGGAAGAAAATTATCCTGGTACATTGTACGTAAAGGCTCGAAGAGGGAAGATGCTGGAGAGACATCAGTGGTTAAAGAAGGTATATGGGCCTAAACTTGGTGAGTGAAAAGGAAGGATAGAGGAGGTAAATATATGAAAGATCTTTAGGGAGCAAAATTGACAGAATTTGGTGTCTACTTAGATACAGAGTGCTAAACAAAAGGGAGGAGTCTAAGAAAATTAAGGTTTCTGGGTGAGATGATTAGAGGCATGATAACTCCATAAATGGAGAAAAGTGAGAAAGAAGAGTATGGGGATGAATAATGAGTTATATTTTATTGCATTTGAAGAACCTGGGAACACACGGCAGGATATTGGGAATACAGATCTGGAGCTCAAGAAAGAGAATTTTAGACAGCTATTATATAAGAGTTGGTATCAGATATATCTCAGTGGATTGGGGAAATAGGGAGGACAGAGTTAAGCCAAAGCTGAGATTGGGTCCAGATTGGATAAGGCCACTAATTGGAGTGGGTAGAGCAAAAGGTTAATTGCAAAATTTAGATGCCATAATCAAAGCAGAAAATCCCCTTTGTTATGTGAAGGAATCATATAACTCAGAGATGAAAAGATCAAGGGCTAGGACAATATGTAAGAGCTCATTGAGAAATGAAAGAAAGGAGGTGGATCAAGTTGAAGAATATTTTTTTCCAGGACATAGGTTAGCGATAGTGCTGGATTTGTTTGGAAGAACTACTTTAGATAAGCAGTGTAACTCTAAGGAGCTTAAGCAACAGAAGACGCTCATTCAGTTCCCAGGTAGGGAAGAAGAGAGAGAGGAACATAGAGCTGGTGGGAGGCCATTCAACTCCTCAGGAACCCCTTAATCTTATTTAAAGTTGGGGGAAAACAGGAGATTCTTGGAGATAATTTTCTATGGAAACTAGCAGAAGGGCTGAATTCTGGGTTCAGGATGATAAGGCAATAACAGGGCTATCAATGAGTTAACTCTTTGTATTTTTATATTGACATTCAACTTCAAAGAATGATTGGTTTTTATTTTTGTAGTGGTCATTACAAACCGAAGAAGGGCAGATCTACCAAAACACACATTTAAATTATTTAGGAGACATGTGGTTTTGAACTTTGGCTCTATCATAGTTCCTCTTTATACGCAGGGATACGTTCCAAGACTCGCAGTGGATGCCTGAAACTGTGGATAGTACCCAACACTGTATATACTAGGTTTATTCCTATATATACATAGTTATGATGTTTAATTATAAATTAGGCACAGTAAGAGAGTAACAATCACTACTAATAAAATTGAATAATATATACTGTAATAGAATTTATGTAAATGTGTTCACCCTCAAAATATTTTATTGTACTGTACTCACCCTTATGATGATGTGAGATGATACAATGCCTATGTGATGAGATGAAATTAGGTGAATGAGCCATTATTAAGTAAAATAATGGCTACCTGAATACAAACACTGTGATACAGAGACAGTTGATCTGATAACCGAGATGGCTATTAAGTGACTAAGAGATGGGTAGTATACACAGTGTCGATATACTCGGCAAAGGGATAAGTCGCATCCAGGGTGGGACGGAGTGGAACTCACAAGATTTCATCAAGCTATTCAGAATAGCGTACAACTTATGAATTGTTTATTTCTGGATTTTTCCATTTAATATTTTCAAACTGTGGTTGATCTGGTAACTGCAGAAGGTGAAGCAACGGATAGGGGGGGACTACTGTATGTTTGCTGCCCCCGCTTCTGAATCAATATAACAAATGTTGAGTCTAGACAATTAGTGATTTTAGCTGTTGGTTATTGTTACTTACATGTCAAGAATTTCTTGTATGGCTATCAGTCAGGATTTATGCAATTGTTTTAAAAGTTTCTGTAATGCTCTTGCATTCTTTGTTGAAAGAGTTAATAATAATTTGGACTAAGACAAAGTGAATTAAAACTGAATTTCTTTTACCTCTACATAGATGCATTAGGACTACTTTCTCTTTCTGTACAAGTAAAATACTGTGTGCATAAAACTGTTAAAAACCAAATCCTGATAGTTTTTAAAATGTCATCTCATACAGGACTTCCTGTAGAAACCAGAAGGCAGTTCCTCTGTAGATCTCTAAAAGGGAAGGCAAAGCAGTTCTTTAAATCACTTGATTCCCTTTTATTAATTTTAGGCAATTGCTCTTTTCTTCCCTAGATATAGGGTATCCATTAAGGCTCTCCTTTTGCCATAGATCTTCAAACTCTTAAATGAGTTCCTTGACAAGCTTTGACAAGTTGGAAAAATATGTGTGGGAAGAATAGATGCAGAGCTCCAACCTGGCAGGATGCAGTGTAAGGTGCAAAGGCGTGTAAGTCAGAAACTTCGTCTTCAAGCAACTTAAAATCCAGGTGTGTTCATTGATCTAACACCCAGAACCCAGTTTTGAGACTCTCACCTATGCTTTGGACTCTAATATACCATACATAATGTTGCCTGTTCTACTGGTGATGAGCTTTGATAATTATGCACTTGTCCAAGAAAGCTAGACTATGGATTAACATGTGATTTCTTTTATTTCAAAATTCAGAAAGTATTGTTTTCTAACTAATGACAGCAAGAGAGGTAATTTAGAAGGTATGGGAACAAGACTGTTGCAAAGAAGACTAGTCGGAGGCCAGGGCTGTGACGCAACGCTGAATGATTCCGTTGGCCAAGAAGGAAGTCAGAGGTAGTTGCCAGTCCGTGGCTGTGGCCTGGTGGATCATGTAGCCAGGCAGAAAAATAGAGAACCACTGCTGAAAATGTGTTATCTGGGAACTGATTATTGCTAAAGGTCCAGAGTCTAAAGACCTCAATTTCTATCTCAGATGTTTAGAGGAAAAGTGAGTTTCGTATCTACATCAAAAGAAGTCATTTCTATGCTAAAAAAATTCTGAAATTTCATTTTAATTTGAAAGATTTTATATATTATTTTTTGCGAAATGCTTGATTTGTATTTGATTGGAAGAATTCATAAATTAAATTTCCTTATCCTGATGATCTATTTGTTATTATAGTTTTTAATGTTATGCATATATAGCATTATTAGTTAAACTTTTCCTTACCCCACAATTTATTTTTCCCCACTTTTTTGGCTATTAAACATTATATTAGCATTTTGGGATATTCCATATTTTATTATGGAATATATTTGACAAAATTTGGAGACATTTAGTTGTAACAGTCTTTCAAAAATTATTTTTTACCTGGGAATTTGTATGAAGGAGAATTTTAAAATCTGAGACTGGAACTATACCTTTCCTTGGGGAAAATAAATCCTCACAAGATGATATTTAAAAATTAAATCTAAATTGTCTTTTTAAAATAAAGGCTTAGTATATTGTAAAAGATAACGAAAGTATTTTGAAAAGAGATGGCTATGAGTAATTTTTTAAAGGTGTTATTGGAGGGCAAAATATTTTGTTTTTATTAAAATACAAAGAATGCGGGCCTCTAGATTAAGTGGAAGATCTGAATGCAGCATATGCATTTTCTATATGAATAATTATAACTCTTTCTTGATGTTTCTAACTTCTCATATGGAGTGTCTAAAATAGGAACTTCAGTTAAAGAGGCACATGATTTAAGTGTATAAAGTGGTTTGATTATAGTAACACTATTGCATAAACGATAGTCGTAATGATATTACGAGATCAATTTAATTGGGACACATAAAGGAGATAATATGTTTGTATTAAAAAATAATGTCATGAAAAATTGCTCGTTTTTTCTTTTTAGTTATTAAGATAGTTCATATGATCATTTGAATTTTCACTTATGTATTACTTTCATTAAAAATAATTTACATTTCCATAATTTATATTATAATTTACATAAATTATAATTTATATCAATCATAATGTATTTGGAATTTATAATAATTTATATTAAGTTATATTATAGGAAAAATCACATAAAATAAGCAAAAAGAACATAGAAGTCATTTATGTCCTGAAATAGTTTCTTCCTGAAAAATTCTGAAAGACAAATAAAAGTACTTTTAAATACTCAAAAAACCTTAGAAAAAATTCTTGAAATACTAAAACTACCAACAAGAAAATAGTAGTGTCTGAGGTTGTTCATTTTTAACTAAATCAACCTTTCTTATCAAAATGTTTTGTGTCATTTTGGTTATATCTTCACTAATGGAGAAGAGGAGAATTGAAGCAATTTTCCAAAATATTTTTACTTTAATTATCTTGTTGTTTTAGAAAGAAGCAGCTTTTGGTCTCTGTTTTCCAAATAATTGTCTCTGTTTAGAAGTTTAGGAATTTTTGGAAACAGAAATTTATCAAGAAAATTTGCCTCAAAAGAATTTTTGTATTTTTTTCTCTTTTTAAGTATGGATGAATAAGTCCATTTTTTCTTAACTGTTTCTTTGAACTGTTTTTAATGAACAAAATTCATAAAAAGTACAATTAACTTTGATACCTCACACTTAAAATTCAGAAAAACTTCAGATAGTGAATACAGAATCTGGGAGAACTGTCCTTGGAGTATTGGTAAAACGAAGTTAAAAGTTTTTAAAGATTTTAATGTGAATTATAAAATGGATATTTTTAAAGAAATTAAGCTGCATTAAAATATTGAGAAAAATATGCAGTTAATATATTCTACCTCCTAAGGTCCTTGAGTTTTGATTAGTTTAAAAGGTACAAGATTCAACTAATATTTATTGACTTTCCTATCTTTCAGGCCTTGTCCTTGATGTATTTATTCACTTACATGCTCTGTAACATTTCAAAACAACCTGAGGATTTAATGATGTGTTGTAGAAGCCTCACCTGGAAGAATATTGTGGGACACAGTATAGTGGATTTCTGTGGGTTTACTTGGCCTTGGCCACTGTTGTGGGTGTTAGAGAATATGCATATCAGAGATGATGATGGTGCAATCAGGAAAAAAAAACCCCAAAATACCAGAGCAACTGTCAGCCCCAGGAGACAAGCCATAGGAGTGAATATGGAGGAGGTAGTCTTGATGAAGAGTCTTGACATGTGCGATCTGTACTTGCAAGGCTGACCCCACAGATGTGCACATACAACTGTCCTACCCATGAAGTTATGAGGTAGCTACATGAGTGCATAAGGAAGGTATGGGGCAAACTAAACTTTTGTGAAGCAACTATGATGGCACAGGTTGTAGTCAAAGGGCACCAGTGTCTCGTGTGTCCCCAAAGTGAGTCAGGGACAAGTAGGGGAACATGCACTTGGGCGTCTCCATGATCTTCCTCCCTGCTTGACTGCCAGACAGGTTTCTGCCCTTGTAGGGCAGAATAGATTTTGTCTTTTCTAAGTCAGTGCGAGGTTCATTTGCCAAGACTGGGGTCTTCAGAGGTAACTATGTATTATTATCCCCTTTTACTGATGAAAAAAATTGAGCCCAGTGAGGTTCAATTAGCTAAAGTGTGTGTGTTTGTGTGCACGTATATATTAGGTAAAATTTATTAGCTCTGTTGATAGACATTTCTTAGAAATAACTGACCTGTTATTAATGGTGTTTACTAAATAATTAGAACTTACCTCTTTCCAAAAAAGAATTTGGAATTGCTTTTTGCAACTTTTAACGGCCTAAATGTACCTCTTCATTATTTTGTTTTATTCAAAACAACTCAACCTTGTTGATCTGAACACTTGGAAGTTTTTGAGCCTATATTTAGCAGGTCAAAGAGCTACTGTTGCTCTTTATGCACTGGGCAACTTGGAGTTCTGAGCCAGCACCACAAATTCAAATCCTACTTCCCTACCCTGACAGCAGAGGGGCTCAGAGTGTAGTGGGGGAGCTGGTGCCCTCACCATGGTGTTTTTCTGGGCCTCTATGGAGGCTGCTGGGAGAACGTGTCTCTGGCACACACGCCTCCTACCCAATGTGGAAAGCACCTGCGGCCCTAAGCAAGAGCGCCGCGGCACTGGTTTTTGGCCAAGTCAGACGTGGCCGGAAAAATCAGTAATTATATTGTTCTCTCCTTTCTGATGATGAAAACGTGGGCATCATTTAAGCGTAAGGCAGAATGTAAACTCAAAATCTGAAAGGAATTTTAGTGACGTGGCGAGGCCAGGTACTGACCGCACGGAAGCGGACTCTGGCGGGTCCCCACTTGCAGTCTCCGTTACTCGCTTTGGACAGCCAGGCGCCGCCCGCCCTCTCCCCGCGAGGGTGCTCTTCCAGGACCCCGCGGCCTGCCTCGGCGGATCTCGCTTCTGAGCCCCTCCCGGGACCCGGGTTCCAGCCCCCGA